TTAATTATTTTGCTTAAGGATTTTATTTGGTTAAAAAAAGTTTCTTTGGGCAGTCTTTCTCAAAATAGAAAAAATACCTCACCAGATGGACTCACTTTCTCTTTTCACTTCCTTCCTTTCGGAATCATCCCAACTTCATCAGCCTGGGGCTGCCTGTTTACCGCCAGCTTGAAGAGCTTCCCTTGGGTCAATCAGGGACTTTGCGGTGTCCCCGAGACCAGCAAGTTCTCATCTTCCTGATCACCATCTCTGCAGGACGGTTTAGGTCCAAATGGACTGTCCAGTGGCAAAAGTATCAACAGTGGTCTTGGAGTGTCGAGACCGCATGTTGTATCATTGTGACGTTAGCTCCTCCTTCGGGCAGGAGGGATTCCTTGTTGATTGTGGGAGAGTGGCAGCTCCCCGTTGAATCTGAGCCACCCTCCTAACCAATGAAGAAGAGAGGGCCATAATGCCTGGACTGAAGCTGGGGCAACTGAAAAAGAACCACTAATGATCTATTCATAAATAGAGTACTGGAACTGGATGAGACTACTTTCAACTTCTACACTAGAGACCTATCCCCCAAATAAAAGAGGTTTTTATTATAAAGACAGACTCTCCAAAATGTAGAGAAAGCAGTGAGTGAGTATGTGGAAATTGACTACAAAACCAAAAGAGAAATGAAATTTTAATGGGAGACTATTAAGCCTTGAAATACAGAAAGAATGGACTGGAATTTATAATATTGTGGAAAGTGACTTAAACCTTTAGATAATATATTTTCATTACTGGAAGAATTTTATAAAGCAAAATGAATTTTTTTACCACTTAATCAGCTGTTATATTTCTTGCTTCAATGCTGGAAGTTAAAACTGGGGTGACACCTACTGGTAAAACAAAGATATACTATTACATAGCTGGGAAAGATCGTGAAGGAACCCAGGATTGATAAGCAGAAGGTAAATAACACCTAGAAAATTGTTTTCTTGTTGCTTGGGACTAGTCATGTTTTCTTTTTGGAAGTTGCTGAACTTGGTGGATTATAAATACTGCTGGCTTTGCAAAACGTCTTGGAGACAGAGAGAACTGTCCACTTCTATAACATCCAGGCGCCTTCTTTGGTTGTGCAATTGGCAGGTGGACAATAAGAACAAATGGAATCTGGCGGTGGCGCCTTACTCAGGCACCTCTTTGTTCGGGGAGGCTCTGGATTCGATCCTGATAGAGAATAAGGACAAGAAGAACGCCAAATGGTCGGAGACCTGTCCGGCCCCGTATTACCACAGACCCTCTTATAGGGGGCCCGAGACAGATTATCAGAGCCACAGGTACTTTTCACCCAGGTCAGATAGGCAGAACCCTCAGCCTTATTACCAGGACAGGAACTGGTTTCAGAGCCAGGCCAAGTGGCCCTTTCACAGTGGGGTGGAGGGCGGCCATCCCTTCCACAAAGGGAAATGACTCAAATCCGAGTCTTTCCATAGGCGGCAGCCTGGCGCTCTTTGAAAATCAATGGGCCGAGATCACCTCAGATGCCTGGGTTCTGTCCACAGTGAAGGACAGTCTGTAACTGGAGTTCCTCTTCTCTCCCTTGAACTTCTTCAGAACCTTTCTCCCATCAAGGGACCCAGAATGGCTCTCCTGATGGATCTCGCCATTCACCATTTATTGGAGATCCAGGCAATGGAGTGGTTCCGTTGGCAGAATGGGGGTTGGAGTTCTACTCCAACCTCTTTGTTGTTCTGAAGAGCTCAGGTGGGGTGGGGTGGTGGAGGGCAATCATTGACCTCAAGCGGCTGAAAGCCTACCTAGTTTACAGGCACTTCAAGATGGCCTCCCTAAGATCGAACTTGCAAGGGATCAGGCGGGAGATCATTTAGCATCAGTGGACCTCACAGAGGGCTATTTACACATCCAGATTCTCCCACGTCACTGCAGGTATCTCAGGTTCTCAGGTTCTTGGGGTCCCACTATCAGTACAGGACTCTCCCGTTCAGGTTGACTTGGGCCCTGTGCACCTTCATGAAAGTCCTGGCGGTATTGGCAGCTCACCTACGGTCTATTCTGGTGAGGTTCCAATGCTGTCTCGACAACATCCTGGTTCAGGCCCAGTCCAATTCGTACGTGCCTCACGATCTACAACTCATGATCCAAACACTGCAGACACTGGGTTTTTCTGTGAACTTTGCAAAAAGTCATCTGTCACCTTCAACAAGAATTCTCCATCTTGGGACGATCATAGGCTCTACAGCAGGAGTGGTGCTGCTTTCTCCAGAACATCGATCCAGCCTACGAGCCTTGGTTTGGCAGGTGCGCACAAAACGTTCCATTTCCATCTTGGACCAATCACGGCTCCTGGGCAATATGATCTCTTGCATCAGCGTCATACTGTGGGCGCACCTGCATGCCAGGCCCCTTCAATGGGCGCTCATTCCGTATCAACGACAACTGCTCAGCAATTCTGCAGTTCTCATCAAGTTGCCAGCAGGCGTGAGGCTTTCCCTCTAATGGTGGCTCTCCCCAGTGCTGAATCGAGGAGCTGAGTTCAGG